TCCCTAACAGGAAGGAAAGGGGAGAAGATGCGCATTCGTGTAGGAGGTTTAAAATGTGAAGGTTGGAAATTTAAAAAAAAAAACAAAACCAAAAAACCATTGGATAGTTTCTATTTTCTCTTTGAAATAAAAGGCAGATATATTGAATGAAAGTTGAGTCCGGAAGAGAACACAGAACGTGAGACGTGCGACAGTGTCTAGCAGGCGTCGCAGTGCGTGAGCAAGAGAAGCGGAGCAGGATTTCCAGGCAGTGGGCGGGCTCGGTGGAAGCCGAGGCTGTCATCCAGGAATGGACGCCGGGCCCAGTCCCTCCGGGAGTCATCCAGGTGCTGGCACAGTAGCCCTAAAGCTGGAGGCTTGCACGGGGTGCAAGGAAAGGAGAGAGGAGTCAGGGGAAAGGGGGCAACGATGAACCGTGGACTCGAAGAATAAATAGGAAAGTGAGTGCGAAGGCACGTGCTCATGGAGAAAGAGACGGAAATGGACTGAAGGCCTTGAGGAAACCGGAGGACAAATATAGTGGGAGAAAAGGGAAAGCCTCATTGATTTTTGAAAGTGTTTGTAGGTGATGGAGAAGTCCTGAGTACGACCATGGAAACAGGCGGCTGAGGTGGAAGGAGGGAAAGGTCACTAACAGGCCGGGGTGGTAATGGAACAGTCCGCAGAGACAATGACATCATCCAAGATGATGGCAAGAGCTGAAATAGAACGGACGCCTGGGGGGCAGGTACCAATTTCTAAGGAACAAGGGACTCTCCAGTGAGTCAGTAAAACGACAAAAAAGACCAGGCTGGGGGAGATGGTCGAGTCTAGAGAGAAGCCTGAGCTCCATCAGTGGGCAGAGAAACCTTCTGCCAGTATCGCTGGAAAGTGGGGAGGACACACCCACCGACCCGCCAACTACGAGGTCTGAAAAACACACCATCATCCTCCACAGAACGGCTCCCAGACTCAGAGAGATGTCCACCGGCTGCAGAACTGCACAGGAGACCACGGAGAAGGGTCAGTGTACCTAAAGCTCTGTACGAAGACTTTAAAAAGCAGCTTATGTGTTCAGGATATGAGGTTTGGCTTGAAGGAATTTCAAAGGAAAAAGCCATAGATATTGCAAGCAACTACCCCAAAATGTCTTGGTCACAATGAATTGAACTATGGACATGTATTAATTGTGGTAAGAATTCTTATTTTCTAGAACTAAGATGAAATAATCACAGATAATGCTATTTAAACAAATCTTAATTAGAAGGAATAAATAATGCCCTTCTTTTATCTGCTTTTAAACAACTTTTAATATTTAAGCAAGATACAAATTTTTATTTGATGCGACTTAAAGATTTAAAACTCTTACTGTATTTTTCAGACTATAAGACGCACCTCCCCCCAAATCTGGGAGGAAAATGGGGGTGCGTCTTATATAGTCTGAATGTAGCTTACCTGGCTCACTGTGGGGGTGGCGGGGTGGGGGTGGAGCGGGGTCACAGGTTATTAAATATTTTACCACATTTTTTGCTTCAAAAATTTTTTTCCTATTTTCCTCCTCTAAAATCTAGGTGTGTCTTATGGTCCGGTGCATCTTATAGTCCTAAAAATACAGTAATTACAAAACTCCATCTCAATATTATAAATGATAATAATTTGTGATTTGGTTTTTTCCCCAATTAGGTAGTAGAGTACTCATGGATGTTACATTGCCCGCAGTTCTGATGGGGATCCTAACTTTTATCGATTAAAAAAAAAGGAATGGGTACATTTTAAAGAAGGCAGTAAAAGAAATCACCTTAACTTACTTGTTTATGTCAATACAATTTTACTTTAATAGCTCATGAAATTTTATTATTGTTATGATATCTACGCAATAAGTCAAGACTGGGAGAAGAAAAAAACAGACAAAATCGCCTCAGACTTTCCTCCATCTACTTCCTCTGCAGGGAACATGGTACTATATTAGGCTTTATATGTATTTTTATAAAGATTAAATAGCCCAATTTTAACTCTAGACTATTTTTTAAAACATAAACAACTTTTATAGGCGCTTCAAAGAAACGACCAATATTCTGTGAGTCCTGGAGTTTGGGTTGCTCTGGCATAACACTGCAGAACCTCTCCCTGGCACTCAGAAGCTTCAGTGCATTGTTAAGCATTAATGCAAATCCAGAGCAAGTTCTTGTCTTTCCGTTTTCATATTACTGAACCTAACCAGGCATACTGTAGCTGTCCGATCCACAACACACTCATACTCTATAATTTGAGACTTTTGCAACCACATATTTTAAAGAACTCATCGAGCCCTGAAAGGCAAATGCTATCATTCCAGTTCTAATTACATGCTACCTGAGTTTTATAGAATGGGAGAAAAGTGAATACTGTGCTTCCTAAATACATTTTTTTTTTTTTGCCACAAACAACTTCCAAGGTAGATGCACAAAATATTTTCTGAATGTTTCACTGTACAAATAGATCAAGCACTGGCCTATTCAAATTATGTTCTAGTTTCTCTTCATATTGCTTCTACTTGATAAATTGGACAATAAATGCCGAGTCAAATATGCAAATAAATACATTTTCATTGTTATTGGCAGCCATATAATTAACTCTGAGAATAAAAGAATGAGAAATCAATTTATTATTACTTCTTCAGTTCTTCCTATTAATCATTTACACTATAATTGTGGTTCCACTTTTAAAACCCTTATACACACATATGTACACACACCAGTTGACTATATTATAAATCACATAATATTATATGGACTATGACCTTCATATTAATTTTATCAGTAAGTTACCACTGTATTATTGCCCACATATATGAACATATATGATTAAAGAGCAATGCACATTTATCAGACTATATTAATTAGTAATTTCAGCAAATGTTTCTAAACAATGTTAGGGATGTACTCTCTCTTACCTCAAGTACAAATATTTGTGTCAACATTTTTTATGTATGTATATATATATCAACAAATTACACTTCCATTTTCCAGCAAAACTAGCTAACAAAGAAAATACTATAGAGAGTAAACCTAATTTTTTCCAAAGAAATATTCAAAGAGTAAATCTTTTATTTTTTAACATTTGTTATCTGTCAGGTCAATACCTTTATGAATCCTAGAAAACTACATTTTGTACAAAAACTTACATAAGTGACCTTTGAAAAAATATTGCCCTCAACTAGATGCAAAAGCTTCAGATACATTATTAAATACAAAAAGAGAAGTTTGAGTTCAAAAATCTGTTTTAGTAAAATATGCTGTCCCACTTGCATTACAGTAGTTCTGTTTTTAAATTATATGATATAGACAAGTCATTTAACCTCTTGGTTTCCTCCCCTCGCTGAGAGGGGGATTAAAGATGGGGCCCAATCACAGGAGTCCACCTGGACTGACAGAGCGGTACAGGGTTAGCATGTGCAACAGCGCCCAGTATGTAGGAAGTGCGCAGTCAGTGTTCACTATGCATTACCTAATTGAACATTTTTTGCCTATTATTTCTAATAGCTTCTAGTTAGCCATCCTGAAAGTATCTTAATTCTTTTTGAAGAAAAAGAAAGCTACATCATGACATTCTTAATGCTTTGCCCATCCCATCAGCTTTTAGCACTGCTGTTAGCAGCTAGTTTATCTACTACTCACAGGCAAAACAGGACCTAAGGTTTCACTAAATAAGAGTTCCAAATTCTATTTTAAAAGACAGCATGACTCTCCCTACTATGTCATTATCAGTACTCACTATTTCACTTAAAATTCTAACATTTTATGTTCTAGGCATTGGGTATAGGCTGTGGGAATAAAAAATGGGTGAGAAAAAAATTCCAGATACATTGCTCACAAAATAGTGAAGGACACAAACACAAATATGTATTGTTTAATTGTAAGATGGTGCACTGAATGTTATATAAAAAATCTCTTCTAAGAGGCCCAAGGGAGGGCTTCCCACGTGATGCTTGAGCAAGGCTTGGAAGGAAGCGCAGAAGCTCTCCAGGTGGAGAAAGGATCTGTGATTACTCTATTCAAAAAGACAACTGAAAATTCCTCACAGTGTAAAGTTAAAATCGGCATAGTTTAAGAAAACAGGCTTCCTCAAACAGATTTCCCATTGCACACTGCTTGCTTAGTACATACATCTTCAGGAGTTGAATAAATATGTTTGCATGACTGTCTGCTCCTGCCCATAGCAAGGCCTTCATTGTAATACACTTGGACGATGTTCTCAGCTCCCACCCTCCCCCGGCTCAGAGAGACTTCTGAAAACCACTGTTACCACACAGCGCTCCAGTCAACAACCTGCAATGGTTTACCGCCCCCCACCCCAGACATCAGCCCTCTGCCCTGGTAGATTTCTCTCCCAATATACCTTACGGGATGTTTCTCTTTTGCTCCCATCCTGCCCAGCCCCAAATGCTTTTCTCCCACTGCTCTGCTTCTGGGAAATTCCACCCACCCTTCAACATCCTCCTGCAGGAGACTGCCAGATCCCCTCACTTCTATTTAAAACAACAGAACTGAACAAATGCTGCAGAAAAGAGATGTTTGTGGAAAGCACCTGCTTTTGGATGAAAAGCATGTCCAAAATGTGGTCGAGAAGTGAAAAACAAAAGGCAGACACTCATCTGAAAGTTACATTCAATAGTTACATCAACCTAGTCCACTTCCTAAATGATTTATGATTCAAAATGTAAATACCGCACAAACCACTTATGGAACATTTATTTTTCCAATGACATCGTGCTCTTTTAAAACTTGAACCATCCCCCAGGATGAATCACGAATTCTTTTTTTTTACTTAAACTGGTTTCTTTAGAACAAATTCACACTAGACGGGAAGGTGTCACTGGATTCGGAACTTTAAATGTTCCCGGGGCCACATGGACCTGGCCAACCAGCCTACTAGCCTGCTTCCTACTTGAAGCGCAACTAGTTAAACAGTAAAATACCCTCAGAAAGTCAAGTTAAAACACTTTTTCAAGTGATAAATGAGCATGCTCTCCATGTCAATACCTTAGATTCCAACTTGATTTTCTCTTCATTCAGCTGCTCTGTTGCTTTCTTAATTTTTTCACGACATCTGTTTATTTCCGACCTGACTGGAAGACAAATTACATCGTTAAGCACATCAATCTTTCTCAAGTCCCCACTTCTGCAGCCCGGGCTAAGGCACCTTTCAGCTGTCTTTCCCTCCACGCGGAAAGCAGCCTCCACTAAGGGCCCTGGCCTTTGCTTTGGGGACTTCCTCCCTCTCCAAGCCCCCACCTGCAGAAGACAGAGGCCCCACGCACAGTGCCGAGGGCCCCACGGACCTTCTCGCATCAAGCGGCGACTCTCCTCGGCCCGATGCTCAGAGAAGATGATATGCTGAAACAAGGATTCCAAACTCATCTCGGCCCTGGCTCCCGGATCCTTTTTTCCTCCCACTTAAATATTTTATAGCCGGGTGTGAGGATCCTGGAAAGCACAATAAAGAAGAAGGATTGTTTTAGGGCTGTTCCCACATCGGCCTCCAGCTCCAGGGCCCCTGCCCACAGCACCGACAGTGCCCACACCCGGCAGCGAGAGACCTGGGGGTCCCTCAGTTGCAGAACAGACCGGGTTTCCCCTCTATCTGCCCTCGTTCCACGTGGGACACCAGCCTCAAACGGTGCCTCTTCCCCCGCCGAGCACAGCGCCGCCCGGATCAGGCCTGGGTCCCTTCCCTTGTTCTCTTTTCCGCCGGGGGGGCAACATGGAGGCCCCAGACCCGGCCGGTGTGGCCGGTCGGTTGGAGTCTAGTCGGTAACCGAAAGGTCTCCGGTTCCACTCCGGATCCCGGGTCAGGGCACACGCGTCCGTAGCCGGTTCGATCCCCAGTAGGGGCGCAGGCAGGAGAAAAGCGATCTTTGACGTTTCTCTCTCTCCCCTTTTTTCTCATAAGAGAATAAAATAATCCTTAAAAGGGGGAGAGACCCCGGGCGTCGGCTTCCCAGCCATCTGGGCAGCAGCCCTTCCTGGCCTCCGCCTTTACCTCTCAGCCCCCTTTCTTAGGAGAGACAAGGTTCTCAACGTGCTCGGACTCTCAGCAGAATGTGGATTTGCTAACTATGCTATTAATGTGTGAGACCTTCCCGAAGGCTGTGACCTCCGCTCTGCCAGGCCAGACGGGACGGAGGCTACGGTGGCCCCTTTGACCCATTCTGCGTGCAGGTGTTTTGCTGTGACCCTGCGGCCCCCCGCCCGAGGCTTCTTAGGCCTTTACTTGGGCTTGGGGTGACCTATCTCCAAGGCAGAAACACCCAGTATGAAAAGGACCAAGTATCCGTGTTTCTAAATATAAACTTTTGCAAAGTCTTAGCCTTTGAATGTGGCAAAGACTGCTGTAAATGAGCAATGTCTGACATTCTGCCTTAATCATTCCTTTGTAATCAGGGCATATCTTTTTGTGTCTGCTTTAAAATTACTCATCGCCCTTTGTAATCAAGCTGCAGTAATATTAACACTTCAATATCTGCGCAATATGTGTCAGAGACCAAAGTGGTTGCTAATTAAAGATTACACATGAAAGGCACCTTTGGGACTTTTGAATGAGAATTTTTAAATTAAAAAATAAAATATTTTTAATTTTAGTAGGTCAAAATATTAAGAGTATAATAAACACATGACTTTACTCTTGAATGTTAAACTGACATTGGCTAAACTTGAAAAAGTAATTTCTACTTAGAATATATTTAGAATTAAGTAAAACAAGCTAAATGTAATTTCTGGCACATCATCTGTATAATAGACTTAATTAATATTTCATAATGCTATAGTACAATCGGTTATAACTTTTAACCTATTCCAAATTTCCAACTTCACTTCCAAGCCATGAATGCATAAAACTTAATTTTTACACTTTGGAAGAATACACACTGCAAAGTGGAATGAAGTAGAAAAGAATTGCCCACGAACATCATGTAGAAGCCAACAGTAATAACATGTTCGTCCTTGCCTTCCAGGTAATCCTCCTCATCTTGCATTTTTTTCCTTTATAGAATTGAAAATACTGTGAATGAGTAATAATAATTATTATTCTTTATTGAGTAAGTTTGTCAGGCACTATTCTGGACACTATCCTCTTGCAATTATTTTTTTATTATTATTTTCATGGTATAGATGAGGACACTGAGGCACAGAACAAGTAAGCATCTTGCCAAATTTGCATATCTAGTACATGGCAGAGCAAGCTCTGAAATCAAGAAATCTGGGATCAGAGCTCATACATTGAATTTTGGATTCTGGTCTTTTTTCCTCTGACATATCAGAAGCATGTTAGCATTTCATTGAAAACTCTTCATAAATACCCTTTTTTACAACTTTATAATCCCCTAGCACATAGATCCCTGTGTGAAATACTGAAATAAATTTAACTGTTTTATCTGTTCGAGGATGAAAAACAAAGCTGAAATTTCGGTTTAAGCCATTTTCTTTGAGCACTCATTCAGAGGCTATGCCACGGCAGCCGCCAAAGGACAGGGCTTCCCGAAGATAAATTTATGACTAATTAGTATCACTCCTTTCAGAGTTAGTTCCCATGGACTTGCACAGGGAGCGTCCTCATAAAGAGGCTGGTTTTCAGAAGCATGCTGTTCTTTACCATTCTAATTTTATTAGTTGCCCTCAAACTCACATTCATTATTTAACATGCTCTTTCTGTACTGAACTTGGCAGAGTGCAAGCTGGCCAGCCTGAAAGGAGCCCAGTTGTCTCACTCACCCAGGAGTAAGGGAGAGAGAGCTGCTGGAAGTTCTGGGAAGAGGTTATTGGGAGAAATGGCTTCATCTTCTTCAAATCCTGGAATATTTCGGTGCCTTTAAATCCTAAATTTGAGTCTTTTTTTTTTTGAGGAACCGCAACTATAGACATTAGCAGGATGTTTTGCTTTATTTGTGAAAGCAAATGTGATTGTGCAATTCCACAATTCGAATTTTAAAAGTGTCTCATAATAATGAGTAGAAGTAACATAGTAAGATATATGGGGAGGCTCCCTGGCTGGCGTAGCTCAGTGGATTAAGCGCGGGCTGTGAACCAAAGTGTTGCAGGTTCGATTCCCAGTCAGGGTACATGCCTGGGTTGTGGGCCACAGGCCCAGCAACCACACATTGATGTTTCTCTCTCTCTCTCTCTTTCTCCCTCCCTTCCCTCTCTAAAAATAAATAAATAAAATCTTTAAAAAAAGATATATAGGGAGGATAAAAGGTGATGGATGGAGACTTGGGCTGGTAAAAACAGAATACAGTGGACAGATGATGTGTTGTAGAATTGCGCACCTGAAACCTGTATAATTTTGTTAATCAGTGTCACTCCAATACATTCAATAAAAATGAAAAAAATACTGCTATTCTATATCTAGCTTTAGTAATACATTTTTCCTTATAGATATACCTCAGAGCAAGAGTAGCATTACTTGAATTTATGCCAAATAAAAATGTTATATGACATTGTAAAACTAGAGCATACTATTTTCTGAAAATGAATCTTGTAAATCTAAAAAAAGAGAAATGATTCATTCAACAACTGTTTAATGAGTCTCTGCTACTCATTCAACAAATATTATTGAGCATCTCCTACATGCCATGTTAAAGAAATAACAATGAGATTTAATAAAAACAGAACTACATAAAAAATATTTTTCCCCCAGATATTTCTAACCTCATTGGAGAATTATTAGATTTCTTCAGCATTTTGGCAGCAATATAAACAACTACTTTCAGATGTTTCAACAGATGTTCTGTAGACAGAAAGCCAATTATTTGCATTATGATACCCACGTATGATTCTCAGATCTAAACTTTCCATCTGTGCGTGTTTTATTGAGTTGCATACCTATGGAGTATAAAAGTTAGGATCGCTCATTATCTCTAAACCTCAGACTTGTGTTCATAATCACACCAGCACCTGGGTTATTGAGCCATCAATAATTGCTTTGCTAGAAGGCCTTATATAAGGCTATACTGCTCTTGTGATTTAAAATGCATTACCTCTCCTTTCTTAGATGGATGACTTCCCTAAACTCTAAAGCAGGCTTGCAGATACCCACTAGCCCAGGGCATATATATTGCAATGGAAAGAAGAAAAATAATTTATTTATCTTATGTTTTGCTTATGGCATCTGCCAAAAAAATGTGGGTTCAACCAAGTTTAACAACCACTTATTGAGCAGCTACTAAGTGTAAAATCTTTGTTAGGTACTGTGGGGGATACAGCATTGAAAGGCACAGGCCCTGCCCTCCTGAACGTCATAACCTATCATATGGGACACAGTGGCACTCATAATTCTTAGGCAGGATATGTATAAGAGTCTCACCCTTGTGCTATGGGAATATGTTAGAGGGAGAATGGTAAGTCTGATGTAGGTGTTTGGGAAATCTTCTCAGTAGTGGGTAAAATATGAGCTGGATTTTCAAGGAGGGTGGGAATTCAATAGAAATGATTATGGGAGAAGGAAAGCAGAAAGTTTGATGGATCCAGCTTTTGGACGTTGTCCAACATTTTCTTGTATCTGATGGAGGAACATGCAATGTTTTCTAGCAGGTGGATGGCATGTCAGAGTTGCTTCTTGCAGTCTGTCTGTGGCGGTAGGTTAGAAACACTAAAGAGCCTGTTAATCAACCCAACAACCCTGTGAGATAAATGCTTTTACTATTTCCACGTGGAGAACCGAGGCGAGAGAGCTAAGTTACTTGTCCAAGGTCACATAGCAGAATCAGGATTTGAACCCTGATCACCTATCAAGGCAAACCCTAAACCGCTTCATTTACTGCCTACAAAACGAGAGGCTGGACAAAATGAGACTATTTCAGCACTTCTGTTTCATTTTAAGGCAGATACATTTCCTAACAAATGCTTATCAGCAACAAATTAATATTTTCTGAAGATATTTTCAGACTTCTAGGATGTGGGTTAGTAGTATAATGCATCTATAATATATTAAATTTAAATGTGATCTAAGGAAGAATAATTGAGAATGGGTCATACCTTGATATAAGTGTTTATTTAACCAGTTACACATCTAACATGTAAAAATAAAAGTAAAATTTGCATGCAAAGTATCATTTCTGTTTCTTAATATTTATATTAGTTTCCTAGGGCTACTACCATAAAGTACCACAACAGAGTGATTTAGAATAACAAAAACTTATTCTCTCACAGTGGTGGAGATCCAAAGTTTGAAATCAAATCAAGGTGTCCCTGGGGATAGTTCCTTCCGGACTCCAGACAAAGAACCTGTGCTTTGCCTCTTTGTAGCTTCCGGTTGTTGCTTGTGATCTTTGTTCTTTGGCCTTCAGATGCACCCACTCTGCCTCCCTGGTCCCTCGGAGTTCTCTCTGTGTGTCTCCGCCTCTTTGTCTCGTTTCCTCTCCTTA